CAGATGAAGAGCAATTTATAAACCTATAGAAGATTGATGAATCTAACATTATAAGTTAAGGAGGATGCAGAGCAATTTCTTATGAGAGACACACCCTTTCTTACTCTTTAACTCTAGTAAGTTAAGGAGATATTTATCATAATATCATTACTTTAAAATGAGTCTAGTAACACTTTTAAACTATTTGTTCATATTCTAAATCAGTGTCATTAAAATGAGTAGGTCAATCAACTTTAATAAATGAAGGTTTTTTTTGCCACTTGTCACACTCTCATTCAATTTGTCAAATGTCATTTTGTGATTACTTTGAATTAATTTTCTTTTCCACCTATCATTTTATGGTTTTTTCTATTTTAATAAATTCCACATAATATTTTAATGTAATAATAATTACAATAAATGTATTAATAAATGAATATCAGTTTCAATAATGGATTTAACTTTTTATTTCAAAATTCCTAAATTAAAGCTCACTAGTTTATTTTGTTTATTTATTTAAATTTAAAAGAAAATTCAATTTTAATAATTCATTATTTTTCTTATTTTCTTATAAATCCAAAGTTTTTAAATATTTAGACTTTTAAATTTAACTTTTTAATTAACCCATGTAGTACATGAGTCTTACACCTAGTATCAAATATGAGAATTTAAATATCCTCATATATTTTCTTCTTATTTATCATTCTACATATGTGAAACGGTGACATGTGTCGTATTTAGATAAGATTAATAATATTTTAATATATTTGTCATCATTTCAAATAGATTAAAAGATATGTCAGAAGGAAAGTAGAACGATATTTAATTTCTCATCAAATATATATAGTTGTCAAAAATAATTACCATAAATCTTATTTTATAAAAGAACTATATTGATTATGTTTGTTAAATTTTTTTATCAATATGTCTGATAATTTAAAGTTTATCTTTAGTTTCGTAAACAAGTAACAACTTCTGTCAAAATCTTATTTTCAATTTTATTATGAGTAGACTTTACAGAAAAAATGTTTTTTTATGGTTCAATACATAATTATATTTCAACAAATAAATAAATTTTTAACAACAAAATATATTAAAACAAAAAAGCCAAGCAGATGAAGAGCAATTTATAAACCTATAGAAGATTGATGAATCTAACATTATAAGTTAAGGAGGATGCAGAGCAATTTCTTTTGAGAGACACGCCCTTTCTTACTCTTTAGCTCTAGTAAGTTAAGGAGATATTTATCATAATACCATTACTTGTAGGGCTGAGTTCTATTCCCTCTCATCCTTAATACGTATGTGTATGTCGAAGGGATCCGAAGGGATATGGAGAAATTAACAAATCAACAAATTTGGATTCCAATAAAATCCACCAAAATCTCTATTTCAATAATTTTATCATTTATAAGATAAGGAAGATAAATTGAATTCCATTCATTATCTTTGTACTTGCTAGAAAGTCAAATTATCGTTTCATTCTTATTGAAAAAAAATAACCATTGGAATTCAAATACTATTAGTCTTCTATTATAATAAATGTGAATATTTGAAACTAATGTTTTGCTGCTTACGTTTATTTATTAGTGTGTTTCAACTTTTGGTTATCTTATGTTGAAATCTTCTAGTCAACATATTCCAACATTTTATAGTTATGTATCAATTATATAAAGTTCCAAGAAACTGATATCAACGCATAAAAGTTAATACAGTTTATGATGCTATGATGTTTTAGTGAACTCTGATGAATGCTTAATGACAAGAATGCAAGAGATGTCACTTAACTACCACTTCAAAGTGGAGCAAGAAGTTGGTTCTTCTACACATGCATTTTTTGGCTTCAATGGTAATTAAAAAGGTGTTATAGGATTTCAAAGCACCATATGTATGGTTTTAAAACCAAGTTTAATCTCCTACGTTTTCGTAGGGACTGCTGGAGTTTGGCGAATGGCAGCACTTAACGAGGCTGGAGGATGGAAAGATCGTACCACAGTGGAGGATATGGATCTAGCAGTTAGAGCTAGTCTTAAAGGTTGGAAGTTCTTATACCTTGGTTCAATAAAGGTAAAGAAAGATTAAAATCTTATGACTTACGACATAATACAACCATGCTTTGTGTTAAATACATCTTTATGTTTGATACATAGGTTAAGAACGAATTGCCTAGTTCATTGAAAGCATATCGTTACCAACAACATCGATGGTCTTGCGGTCCAGCAAACCTCTTCAGGAAAATGATTTACGAGATCATGATAAATGAGGTAATATTGTTTTCCATTAGTTCCGCAACTGATTAGTTCTCTCAATGGATATTGTTGTGAATATCTTACTACTTTATTCAGAAAGTTACATTGTGGAAGAAGCTACATGTGATATATAGTTTCTTCTTTGTAAGAAAGATAGTGGCTCATATTGTTACTTTCGTGCTCTATTGTGTTGTAATTCCTGCGAGTGTGTGGATACCTGAAGTCGAGGTTCCGACTTGGGGTACGATTTATATCCCAACCGTCATAACCATTCTGAATGCTGTTGGAACTCCAAGGTTTTCATTCTATAATTCGTAGTACCCTTTCTAAAAGGCTATGGTTGTTCTTACTTCCATTTTTATTCTTACCTTACAGGTCTTTTTATTTGGTGGTATTTTGGATAGTCTTTGAGAATGTCATGGCCCTCCATCGAACCAAGGCTACATTCATCGGAATTTTGGAGGCTCAAAGAGTGAATGAATGGGTTGTCACTGAGAAGCATGGGGGTGCTTCCAAGGCTAAAACTGTAACCAGGCAACATGGAAGACTAGGCTTCAAACTAAGTGAAAGGTGCACAATCTTAATAATAGTAAATTTTATATGGATGACTAAACTAAAGAATCATTATATATATATATATATATATATATATATATATATATATAGCTCAAAATTTCAGAAATAGTCCTAATTATTTTCAGTTTTTCTCTAATATAGTTCTTATTAGAGTTAATTTTTGCATAGATAGTCCATTTGGAGCAAACCTTTCATTTAGTAGTCCCTTTCGATAAAACTTAAGATATCAATTGTCCTTGTGACCAACTTTGCTAACAAAATTTTGTTAAATGTTTATGAAATGATAAAAATACCCTTATATCCTATACCTTTTCCCTTATTTATCTCTTAACATTTAAGACCACTACCACCGATACAAAGAATCTACCACCACCATCCGACTAGTGCTACTACCATCGTCTGCCTACTTCCACCACCATCTACAAACAATCAAAACCAACTTCATCTTCACCGTGGGAGTACATCCATTTGACAAAGAATTTTGCTTAATACCCCAATTCTCATTCACCTTTTTTTCTCCACCGTCATTGCATTCGATCATTTACCCAAAAACACGATCAACACTCCATGAAGATGTAATTTGAAAGTCAAACATTCATATTGGCCCTTAGTTTTGTAGATGACCAAAACAAAAAGCACCCATGACATAAAAAATAAACCTATATGGGTAGGTTTCCGACGAGAATCTATTGCCCACATCACCATGAATCTATTCTCAGCAAGAACACCATGATAAAAAAAAAATTATCGTAACCACCTTGACATAAAAACCCATTCCTCTTATTCTAACCTCAATCGTCGGTCCCATTATCTAAAGATGATAATGATTGGTGGTATGAAGGTGAAACAGTACATACATAACAAGATGACGCATGTGTTCCTTTTTACCAAATTGAAATCAATATTTGGGTTTTTATTAACAAACTGATAGCGAGATGTGTTCTAATGGAGTCGAAAAAACTATAGTAAGAATCAAAATCAAGATCTGAAATCCTAGTGGTGACGGAATACCTAGAACTTCAGTGATCAAACCTAAACCCTAAAGCAGAAATCTGGATTGAGACCGATGTCTTGAAGACACAACTTGTGGAGAATCCGTCAAACATTTCTGAACCAACTCAACGAAAGTATTTGAGTTAAGAGGCGGAGGTTTCCATCCTTGAACTCAATGAACTGCACTCTAAAGTCGGTGGTTTCCGAAGGTAAGAGGCGGAGGTTTCTGCCATTAACCATAACCCCACCACCTATGCCATCAATGACCCAACCCTTCAATTCTTAACCTACAATTAATTCCATAGTAAACACTCCACACTAGTGCAATATCGATTAAACAAATACAATATCATTAATTATATTTCATTGGAAAATCATCACAAAACTCTCATTTTTCATCTTTAAATGCTCTCATCATCTTTACTGCATATATA